GCTGGGGAAAGATCCAAGATGGCCGATGGCTAACATCTTGGGATTGCAGCTCTCAATGAAAGCGCAGAGAACTAGAGGATGCCACACTTTCAGACAAATTCTGGTAGCTCACGGAGCAGAAGATCCCCAGTGGAGGAACCACACGGGTCGCCAGGCCGGCGCAGCAGCTCTCGGAGCAGAGTAAACAGGGCTGGCTCCCCTTCTGACCGAGATTTGGAGGACCGACACGGGTCCCCAGCACCACTCCAGAGGCCAGCGCGGCGGCTGTGACGGCACCTCGGCGCAGCAGCTCTCGGCGCAGAGTAAACGAGACTGGTTCCCCTTCTGACCGAGGTTTAGAGCCCCGGGAAGGCAAAGTTGCCTATTATGGACACAAGAAGGAAGCCAGACAGGAGAATCCGGGGCAGAAAAGCACCATCAGTCTTAACGCCGCTGTTCTGGCCCTGGGAACTAACAACTTGGACGTCCACTCAAGAGACCTAATCTGAAAGTTGGTAATTTCAAAGACGACAGGAGGATAAATTTACAATGATGGGAAGAAACCAGCGTAAAAAGGCTGAGAATACTCAAAATCAGAATGCCTCTCCCTCTAAAGATGATCACAGTTCCACATCAACAATGGAACAAGACTTGACGGAGAACGAGCGCATCCCAATGATGAGCGCATCCCAATGACAGAATCACTCTTCAGGGAATGGATAATAAACTTCTGTGAGTTAAAAGAACATGTTGTAGCCCAACATAAAGAAACTAGGAACTTTGAAAAAAGGTTTGACAAAATCCTAATGAGAATAAACAACTTAGAGAGGAATATAAGGGAATTAATGGAACTGAAGAGTAATACAGGAACTCCAAGAAGTATGCACAGGTTTAAACACTCAATTGTTCAAGCAGAAGAAAGGATATCAGAGGTCGAAGTCCAACGTAATGAAATAAAACAAGACAAGATTAGAGAAACAAGGATAAAAAGAAATGAGCAAAGTCTCCAAGAAATGTGGGACTATGTGAAAAGACCAAATTTACGTCTGACAGGTGTACCTGAATGCGACGGAGAGAATGAATCCAAGCTGGAAAATACCCTTCAGGATATTATTCAGGAAAATTTTCCTGAACTAGCAAAGCAGGTCAATATTCATCCCCAGGTAATACAGACAACACCACAAAGATATTCCTCAAGAAGAGCAACCCCAAGGCACATAATCGTTAGATTCACCAGGGTTGAAACGAAGGAGACAAAACTAAGGGCAGCCAGAGAAAGGTCAGGTTACCCACAAAGGCAAGCCTATCAGACTTACAGCAGATCTCTCAGCAGAAACTCTACAAGCCAGAAGAGAGTGGGGCCAATATTCAACATCCTCAAAGAACAGAACCTTCAGCCCAGAATTTCACATCCAGCCAAACTAAGCTTCACAACTGAAGGAAAAATAAAATCTTTTATGAACAAGCAAGTAGTCAGAGATTTTATTACCACCAGGCCTGCTTTACAAGAGCTTCTGAAAGAAGCATTACACACAGAAAGAAACAACCAGTATTAGCCTTTCTAAAAATATACCAAAAAGAGCACCAACATAAAGAATTTACATCGACGAATGGATAAAACAGCCAGTTAACATCAAATGGCAGTAACCCTAAATTTAAATCGACTAAATCCCCCATCAAAAGACACAGCCAAAACCCAATGGCATGTTACATCCAGACCTGTTTCACATGCAAGGATACACAAAGACTCAAAACAAAGGGATGGAGAAAGATTTACCAACCAAATGGAGAGCAAAAATAAATAAATAAAATGCAAGAGTTGCAATTCTCGTATCGGATAAAATAGATTTTAAAGCAACAAAGATATAGTGGTAAAAGGATCAAGGCAACAACAAGAGCTAACAATCCTATCACCCATATACATAGAGACTTAGATTCAATGAGACAGAAAATTAATAAGGATATCAAGGACTCGAACTCAGATCCGGAACAAGTAAACTTAATAAATATTTATACAGCTCTCCACTTCCAATACACAAAATATACATTCTTGTCAATATCACATCACACCTACTCATAGGTTTAAATGAAACATTGATTGGCCATTATTAATACCTTTTTTTTTTTTCAGAATAAAGGAATATTTCTGTTCACCCTCCCTCTTTCTCTTCCTCTTTCTTCCTCTCTTTTACTCATTTTTTTTTTCTTTCCTTCTCTCAAAAAAAAATCAACTTGTAAACCTCTAGATCCAGGTCGGCAGTGTTTCTCTCATTGCTTGATTTCCTTCCTTCCCTTCCCTCCCTCCCTCTCTACCCCCTTCCTCCCTTCCTTCATCCCTTCCTCCTTCCCACCCTTCCTCCTTCCTCCCATCCTCCTTCCCTCCCCCCCCCCAAAAATAAAATAAAATAAAACCTGCTTTATTTTATCCGGTGTTCTTCATTGGTTGGTGTATCAACTGGATAAAGACATGAGGATGGCTCATGCCTGTAATCCCAGCACTTTGGGAGGCTGAGGCAGGCGGCAGATCACCTGAGGTCAGGAGTTCGACACTAACCTGGCAAACATAGTGAAACCTCATCTGTACTAAAAATACAATAGGCAGGTGCGGTGGTGGGGACCTGTAATCCCAACAACTCAGGAGACTGAGGCAGGAGAATCGCTTGAACACAAGAGGCGGAGGCTGGAGTGAGCCGGGATCAGGCCACTGCACTCCAGCCTGGGCAACAGAGCAAGACTCCATTAAAACAAAAATTGGCCAGGCATGGTGGCGGGCGCCTGTAGTCCCTGCTACTGGGGAGGCTGAGGCAGGAGAATCGCTTGGACCCGGACCCGGGGGTTGCCGTGAGCCAAGATCCGGCCACTGCACTCCTGCCTGGGGGACACAGCTCAACTTCCAGTCTCAAAAATAACAAATAAATAAATAATTCAACCACACGTGAGCCCACCAGTGAGTAGGACTTTTTACAGGTCTGTCACCAAGTCTTATAATACTATTGTTCTTTAAAGTCAAGAATGAGCTCTGGGGAAAGAATTTCCTTTGTCACCATTTTAATTATCTGAATTAAAGAAGATATTTCAGTGTTTACCACAATGTAGTGGTTAAAGTATGAAATCCCTAAAAGATGATGCTCCAGAGTTGTTTAACATGAGCTCCTTTTTTTCTGTGACAAGGTCTCATTCTCTTGCCCCTGCTGGACTGCAGTGGGACGAGCATAGCTCACAGCAGCCTCAAACTCCCGCCAAGGAGCTACCTTAGACACAATCCCTCCCATCAAATTACCCTGATTGGTTATGATCAAAAATGCAAAACCCTTGTAGCAGTTTCTCCTACGTAAAGGTTCTTTACTGTCTAAAGAGTATCCTAACCATTCCAAACAGACTCAAACTGGAATGAAAATTCACACGAACAAGAAATACCGAAAAATGTAAAAGACGCTGTTGGAACGGGGTACAACTCTGAATCAGCTCATCTGTTTCGTCAGTGTTAGCCACACTTGCTTTCAATTTGTCTTAATTTCTTCCAATTCTAAAATGCTTTTTTAAAAAAAACCTGAGGTAGCAAAGTAGTTGCTGGCACTTCGGATTGATTCTGAAAAAGTAAATCTTAAAAGCAAATCAGGCCAACTCACGAATTTAAAATGAATGCAAAGTCCAATTCGCCACTCCCACCCATTTCTCACAGCAGCTGTCTACCAATCGTGGCTGCAACACTTCAGACACGATTTAATGGGCTCAATCACTTGCTGCAAAGACTCGGCTTCGCTCGTAGTCCTAAAGAACCGCACTTTCAGCCGGATGGGGCACGGCCACGCTCAGAACCACCAGCTAAGACCCGATCCCCTCGCTAGGGAACCGTAACTAGGCACCCACCACCAGTCAACAACGCGCGCTCACTTCAGAACAGCGGTTGCCAGGGGTACAGAAATTAACTCCGGAGAACCCTCCGAGGGACAGACCAGAGCCCTAAAACCGAGCAGAATCATAAAAACGAAGCATCAACTGATGGGTAGTCCCAAGCCGGGAAGGAGTTTTAAAGACCACGCGGAAACAGGCGGACCTCCCAATGCCTCCCAATGCACTTCGCTGCTGGTCGCAGTTATTTTTCTCAAAGCCCAAAGGCCAGGAAGTAAGGTGGCAGTCTCAGCCAATGAGAGGCGAACACAAGTTGCGCCGCCGGCGCCGTATGCCGGGGGAAGAAAGGAAGAAGCGCGCGTGCGCGTAGCGTTCAGTCGGGCACGCGCAGGGGTCCGGGCTGAAATGGGGGAAGGGTGGAAGAGGAAGATACGCGCACGCGCACGGGAGGCCGCGCGGGCTCCGGGTCTCGAGCCAGGTTCCCAACCACGCGCGCGCGCGCGCCGTTAACACTCCTCAGCCCACCCCGCTACCTTCTCGGCCTGTAGTGCCTCGAAAACCTGAGGGAAGCTGACGAAAAAACGTATAAATAACGGCGCAACGTCTCCTTGGTTCTCCTTTCGCGGCCAACCCGTCACCGCATACAAAAGAGTCAAAAATATGGCCTGTCCTCGCTCTTCACTGCCCTTTGAGTAACTTGAATACAGCGAGAGTCCTACCTGACACGCTGAATCGCGGTTCCCGGGATTTATCTCCGTTGCAACTACACAGCGGCCATTTCCCGACTCAAGAACGCGAGGAAAACCATAGAGGTAGCTTCGACGCGCTACCTCGCCTCCGTCACTTCCGAACTGGGGCGTGGCCTCGGGTGCCGCTAAATATGCGGGCAAGCCCCGCCCACCCTTCCGCCCAGGACCGGTTCCCTGGCTGCTATTAAGTTGTTTCCAGAGGCCTTCTGGGAAATCGCGTGGCTGGTCTCGCGCGAAGATGTGGCGGCCCCGCCCTCTGGCCCGTAGCTGCAGCCTTAGCCCAAGAGGCAGTAGAATGGGGCGGGTGTTTTGTTAGGCCCTGAGTTAGCTTGGTCACACGGCGCTATTTGCTGGCGTCTCTGCCTCGTTCTGAGGAGACCCCCTAGACCTCACCACTGCCCCCACTTTTTATTTATTTACCTTAGTAAGCTCGTCTGTCCATTCTTTCGGTGGGGCCAGTTCAGACCGGGCAAATACAAAGACAATCCCACGCTGAGGAAAACACCAGGAGGCGGGACGCGGCTGTGACTGGAGACCCGCTGCTCCCTCAGCAGCAAGCGCCACGTTTCTCCCTCTTGGACGCCTAACTGAAGATTAGAAAGTAGCTTTTGCTTTGCTATTAAATGCGCCAGACGCACTTAGTCGAAAAATGGCCAAAATCCCCTTTCCTGAGTGGCGTCTGATCAAATCAGAGCTCCCGCCGCAGCAGCCGGAAGCCGCTTAGGCTGCTGGCGCCGTAGGAGGCCGCCCTCCGTGCGGCGTGGTGACAGCTTTACCACATCGGCAACGTTGGCATAGGCATAAAAAATAAAGAGCACGACGAAGCAGTTGAGCTTTCAGCCTGTGACGATGATTTGTGGCGCCGAGGAACACAGCCTAACGTAGCTTGGCTGGCCAGAATTATAAGGTTATAGATAGGCAAGCCCCCTTCGCTTTGAATAGAATTTAACAGCCTTAGCACATTCTCTATTAATGCTTCCCTGGGCTGCACCTTCTTCCTTGGGGCCTAAAACCGCTATTACTTTGATGTTTAGGGATGTTAACTACCTTGATGGATTTCAGACTTGTAATTAGCAACCAGGGTGTCAGTGAGTGAATGGAATCTAGTATTGAGCCCTAGTTGTGAATTTCACACTGTTCTTAGGGCATTCTTTCTTCACAACCCAATTTACCAGCTCAGCTAGAAAAACGACATCATTTTCACGGAATGAATCATTAGTTTTTTGTCGTACAGTCTGTCCCTCACTCTGTTACCGCCTCAGGATGTGGACACGGGAATCTTTGGCCATTGTTGTGTCCTGATGTCCCAAGCATTTGCAGGTGCTCAGTAAATGTTGAGTGAATGAACTATATTTAATAAAGGGAAAAAAAAATTAAGGCCTCACTACACCTCTGCTATCTGCATGTATTGGGAGTTGGAGCACTCAGGGCTGACAGCTCTTACTCATTTATTCAAAATACGCCAAATTGCGGGCTAGGATATTATCTTGAACCTCCCTCTGCAATTCTGTTGCACATGTGTTGAAAATGAAGTCATCTATCTTAGACAATATAATTGAATATGATTTTATTTACATAACCTGAGGTAGTAACAAAGGAGGAGATCCTTTAGAACAAAGCCTTTAGTGGATGGAAGTTATCCAGACTTTTCTTGAACTAGATCCTCTATCTCTAAAGTAGGAGGTCCTTGAATTTAGATGTTTTATGCACATTCTTATTTTCAAAACCTGAAATTCCACCATTACAGATTCATTCTTTGTAATAAAAATGTGTATTGAAAACTCTGAAAAGAGCAGAAGAAAAAGAGCCCATTTAACAAATGGGCATTGCAGAAAAATAGAACATTATCTCAAGAAGAAATACAAGTTGTAAACAAATGACCAAACCTGCTAAGAAGATACAAAAGAATGTTGAGATAAATTAATAAGCTGATTTTAATTTCTTTTTTAAGACAGAGTCTTGTTCTGTTCCCCCAGGCTGGAGTGCAGTGGCACGATGTTGGCTCACTGCAACCTCTGCCTTCCAGGTTCAAGCAATTCTGTTGCCTCAGCCTTCTGAATAGCTGGGATTACAGGCTCCCACCAGCATGCCAGGCTAATGTTTATATTTTTAGTATAGACAGTGTTTCACCATGTTGGCAGCCGGGTGTCAATGTCCAGGCCTCAAATGATCCACCCACCTCAGCCTCCCAAAGTGCTGGGATTACAGGCATGAGCCACCATGACTGGCAAGCTAATTTTAATTTATAGGTCATGGAGATATTATTGTGAATATGATTATAAAACTCTTTCTTAAGAGTTGTTGATTTTGTTTTGGTTTGATTTTAATTTAAGATCATTGAAAAACAGAAATGGGCCAGGTGCAGTGGCTCACACCTGTAATCCCAGCACTTTGGGAGGCTGAAGAGGGCGGATCACTTGAGGTCTGAGTTTGAGACCAGTCTGGTCAACGTGGTGAAACTCCATATCTCCTAAAAATACAAAAATTAGCCAGGCATGGTGATACACTCTTGTAGTCCCAGCTACTCGGGAGGCTGAAGAAGGAGAATTGCTTGAACCAGGCAGGTGGAAGTTGCACCTTGAGCCAAGATCACACCACAACACTCCAGCCTAGGTGACAGAGCAAGACTACAGCTAAAAAATAAAAATAAAAATAAATAAATAAATAAAAACAGAAAAGAAAGGAAAAAGAGGTTGGTGCAGTGGCTCACACCTGTAATTCCAGCACTCTGAGAGGCCGAAGTGGGCAGATCACCTGGGGTCAGGAGTTCGAGACCAGCCTGACCAACATGGAGAAACCCTGTCTCTACCATAAATACAAAAAATTAGCTGGGTGTGGTGGTGCATGCCTGTAATCCCAGCTACTTGTAGGAGGCTGAGGCAGGAGAATCACTTGAACCCGGAAGGTGTAGGTTGCCGTGAGCCAAGATCATGCCATTGCACTCTAGTCTGGGCAACAAGAGCGAAACTCTCACTCAAAAAAAAAAAAAAAAAAAAGGAAAAAGAGAAATGAAAAAGGATGACTATCTGAAAAGGACAAAGACAAGAAAATAGGAATGAGAATGGAGTTGGAAGTCTAGCACGAAGACAAGCTCCAAGACCTCACTGGTTTGGTTTTGTTTATCTTTTTAGGTGGAACATCTGAACTATTTTCCTATTTGGGGAAATTGAAGTTGAGGTGGTATTTGGAGTCCCACTCTTCCCACTCCCTGAAAATACTGGCATTGGGAATCCAACAGCAGTAGTGAGGAGGAGACAGCAGAGGAAAAGTGACCAACAGAGATTCCCTAACTAGAGTGCTGATGGGCCGGACTTTGACTGTAGTTCCTGCTGCATGGGCCTCCATGTGTGCATATCCCTCTCCAGGCTTTGTGTTCATTTCTTTTTTTAATTTTAATTGTGGTAAAATATGCATTGATTCTTTGAGCTAGTTGATATCCTTCCAGTAAATTTCTTTTTTTTTTTTTTTTTTAAAGGCAATCAGTTATTTAATTAGATTATTAGGACATTTAAAACACCAATTTGTGAGGATAAATTCCATTTGTCAGGGCAAACACAGATCGCAGGTAGCCCTGGAGCTGAGGAATAGCTTTGATTTTTGGTAGAACTTGTGAGTCCACAGCTTTCTGATCAATCTTGCGCTGCTCTGTTATCTCGTATTTCTCTTTTTCTGTGTCGAAGATCTCACCTTCCTGGTGTCTGGGCTTCCGCAGCTTCTTCTTCTTAAAATAAGCATCAGTAAGATGTTTTGGGATTTTTACATTGCTGATATCAATTTTGGTTGAGGTGGCAATGACAAATTTCTGGTGCGTTCTTCGCAGAGGAACTCGATTGAGGACCAGAGGTCCAGTCACAAGTAACAAGCCACTAGCCAGCTGCTTCAGGAAAACCACCCTCTTGCCCCTGTGGCGACCAGTGAGGATGATCAGAATGGTACCGGGGGTAATGCTGGCTCGCAGTTTTCTCACGTGCTGACTAAAGGGTTTTTTGCCGTGGCTCAACAGCTTTCGAGGCACATCTTCAGTAGGATAATACCTAGGCATTTTGTGAAGTTTAACCACCCGGGTGCCGCCGTTTTTGTCACCACCAACTGGTTTTGTAACAGTTGCAAGAACCTTCTCTTTCTTTTTCTTTTCAACCTTGGATTTAGCCGCTGAGTACTTCCTCTTGTACAAGGCTTTTCTGGAATACATGGCAGATCGGGAATACCTGCCAATTCCTCTGACAAGAACAGGATTGCGGCTGCAATGGGGCTTCCCCTTCTTGGGCTTTTTTTTAGCCTTGAGGCTAGCCTTTTTCACTTTGCTACCAGCATCAGCCTTCTTGGCTTCAGGTTTCTTCTCTTTAGTATCCGGCTTCTCAACTTTTTCACCGGCCATCTTACAAGATGGGAAAGAGCCCTTCCAGTAAATTTCTTTTCCTGATGAGTTAATCAGAGTTGGTTTCTGTGGTTTGCTAAGAACCCTGAACTTCATGTCACTGTGTTGAGTAGAAGCAGTAGAAGCAGAAGTAGTCCTGTTAATGAGGACTTCATGTCACAGTTTTGAGTAGAAGCAGTAGAAGTAGTCCTATTTGGAAACTGAGGCCAGTTTTCCAAATGGTCTGGCATTTTTCTAGATCTATACCGGTGAAATTTCGTTCCTACTGGTGAATAAATTGACTAGGATATTTTCCTTCTTTTTCTATCCCCTTTAACATACTAAAAATGTGGTTATTTTATTTAAAATATTTTAATTTTATTTTTTCAATTTTAATTATTTTGGTTTTAAATTACCAAACTTAAGAATTATGTATTTACAGTGATGTTCCTTAGTATTCATCTCTCCATTTTGAAAAAAATAATTGAAATATCAAAATGAGCCAGGTATTGCGGCTCACACCTATAATCCCAGCACTTTGGGAGACTGAGGTAGGAGGATCACATGAGCCAAGAGTTTGAGACCAGCCTAGGCAATGTGTGAGACCTTACCTGTTTGAAAAATTTAAATATTAACAGAGTGTGGTGGTTACCACTTTTAATCCCAGCTACTCAGGAGGCTGAGGTAGGAGGATTGCTTGAGCCTGGGAGGCAGAGGCCATAGTAAGCCAAATTGTGCCACTGCACTTCAGCCTGGGCAATAGAGCAAGACTCTCAAACAAACTAACAGAAAAATACCAAAATGTGACTGTTAATCATTGTTTCTAAGTTCCACCAAGATTCATGTGCATCTTTCTCATGAAGATGGAAACAAATGGAACATTAAATTTTTTCAAAGTTTTCCTAAGAAATCTTTGCCCCACAATTATGCCAACTTACTGTTTAATGTAACTACTGAAGAACAAAGAGGTAACTCCCCTAAAATGGGGCAACAGAATTATGATGAGATTTATCTCCAGAAATCATTTCTTCCTTAAGAGAGGTTATAAGAGCAACAGAACATCTCCTTCTTTTAAAGCAGTTATCCAGTTGCCAACAAATGTGTCTGTTTGCCCATTAAAAAGTCTGAAAGCTCAATTCTATCCAGAAAAACAATTTGTCTCACAAAAGGCTAAAATCACCTAAGCAAAGGGCTGCAACCAATGATAATATTTAAAAGTAGTGAAATACAGAGCATAGAGTATTGGAGGTAGGAGTGAGGTTGGGGAGCCTCTCTGGATGTCTTGGAGTGCTGAAATTTCAGCCTCATTGCTTATTTTAAAAGAACTAAGAATTAAGCTGGCCTGGAGAGGGAGTCACCATTGACACTGACAAGCCCTGATGCTGGTTTTTTTAAAGTGTAATATAAAAGCCAACTCATGAGAATAACCTAGGTGGTTTATTTTAAGGGGAGAACTGACTCTCATTACACATTTATTGAGGCAGAATCTGTGGGGGTAAGCATACACACTAAAGTTTTAGAACCACTGATTTATTGAACACCTA